CCGGTTATCGGGACGGACGGTGCTGCTGAATCGTGGAGGGTTCAGAACCGAGGACGACGATCCATCGTCTGGGGTTTGGAAACGTCGCATCGCTCCACCATCACCACTGGATTTCTTTGGCTTTTCGGGTGGCCTTTAACCCTTGGTGCAGATGATCGCCTAACTTTAACGAAAGGTCCGAGATAAAAATTGCGCGATACGGTGGTCTTGGCCTTGTCATTCGATATGGGGCAGTTTTCGCACGAACGTATAGTCGAGAAGAGCCGATGGTGGTGTGGCTCGGATGAGAAGCAGACTGGATGGAGTCAAATGAAGAGCCTGGCACGGTGCCCCGTATGGTTCTACACCAGTTCTTTACGCCTACCACCCTCTTTCGCGAGCGTCTTCCTCTCTTGGGCTATCACATCGCACCTGTGGCTGTTTGCTCTTGTGTTCGGGTGGATTGTCAGACAACCGGCGGGAGACGGAAGAAATGGCGGCAACTTTCAAAGAATTTACCTGTCGCGAACTAGACTCCTAGTGCAAATGGCAACTCCGTTAGACGTCTGGGCGTCAATCAGTCTGTGAAAATTACGGATTGCCAGGTTCAACGATTGCTCCGTGCCACACGCCGAGGAAATCACGGCTCCTATTTTCATTCCGTTTGCATCTCGCCGTTCAAGCTCGAATACCCTTCACGCGACGCTTAATCTCGAAAAGAAGGTCGTTTGACGACCCCAAGAGTGGGAATTCCATCAATATTCTGCAACCGTTGTCTAGCATTCCATGTGCTTAGCTCGCTCACCGCAACCGAAGGAAGCTCGGATACCCTTGTTCTATCCCGTCCTCCTCCATGTGGGAGCTCTGAACCCGAAAACTTCCCTTGCCGGCTGCGAAAGTTGCGAGTTTGAGTACGTAGAGTATTACGCGGTTCCACGTCGGACATCCGATGGCTTTATGACTACTCCCGTGCTCCCTTGATTCTCATCTGTGCGTCCCCTCCATCCGCCGTTAACCCCAGGCTGTCATCTGCCCATGAGCAGCGACGATGCGTAGGCTGATAGGACGCAATAATGAAAGTGCTTTCATGGGAGGTTGAATTGCGAGTGCCAAGATAGTGGCGGGCGCCAGCCCCCTTTCTCCAGTCTTTCCGTGACAAAGTGTAGCAGACCAAAAGCTCTTCCGATCCGACTATCATCGATATGAGTCCAAGTGGGTGACGGAAAAAGTCCCGTACCACGTTCCAGTGGTGTTGGCATTCTGTATGAGGTGTGGGAATCCCTTCACTCCAGCTACTTCCTCAGCGAGGTGGCTGGCCTTGTGACCTGAATATGTCAAGTCCTTGCAGATGATTGCAGCATCTCCACTGATGCCACGACACTCTGCCCCATCTGCGACGAGGCGGACACAATGGTGGCAGGATAGTTGTGTCAAACAGGTGGTAAAAGTTCCCCCTTCTTGGCAGTTAATGGTGACGATGAGTTGGCACCGCGATCCATTGACTTTCTTCCGAGTCAATGTCGTGTGGCTGGTTTCTCAAAAGTGAGGTTGGACAAAGTGCCAACAGCCTTCTGAATTAAAACGACCCAGTTGGAGTTCTGTGAGAAATTCCCCTAAAGTGGGTGATGATCTACGAAATCTCGATCGAGATTGCTAGGATACCCTCTTTTAATGCGCAAAAGTCCGTTACAGCCGCTCAGGTTGGCTAAAAGAGTGAGGTCGGAGAGGGCGGGTTCGAAAAGTCAAGTCTTCAGAGAAGTCGGCATACCCTGGCTCAGGGCTCTGATCAAGACTTGGTACCCCTGAGTATCAGCCTCACCTCCTCATGTGCCACATATGCCTGTGATTGCATAGAATCCTAAACCCAGCTGAAGGGCCCTAAATATGAAAGAACGCTGCAGTTCCAACGACTGGTCCAGACCGCCAGTTGAGAAACAGCACGTTTGTAAAATTTCTAGAACAAATTAATGGACCACAGAGTCTTTCAAATTTTGGCAATCGAAAATTTGTACCTGCATCGGTAGCTTCATCTTTCATAAGAATCAATTGAACAGCTGTTTCGGGAAAAGTCTGGCAAGGGTTCAAGAGGAAGGGTAACGGTTAGTTCCGTTCGATCTTGCTCGAGTCTGCTCAGGGGAGAGGTCTGGTGACAACGTCAGCTCTTCCATTGGCTGTTCACCTTCAGGCCAGTGCAGGTTCCAAGAGGGATCCGGCGAAACAGAAAATATTGGGGTTAGGGCAGAGGGCTTGTGTTCGTTCCATGGAGGAAAATCACTGTGAATGTCGAAACACGGGCTCGGACTGGGTGGTTCACGCTTTCTGGTAGCTGCTAAGCTTTCAATCTTGCGATGACTCTCTGACTATCTTATCTCATTCTCTCCAACCCGTTTGAGTGCCTGAAGACAATCTTGGTAAGTCATTGGTGATGTTAGATACGTGAAGAATTGGAGGTTCGAAGTGCTTTGCAAAAAGGTTAAATATTGATCTCGTGATTGTGACTTGGCTAAGCTTGAATTTTACGAGAGTTCAGTCGCTCGAAATGCCGTCCTTACTCGCGATGGAAGAGCCAAGAGGCAGAAATGACAAAGCTAAGAGCTGAAACACCCTTGTGTTCTGTGACATTCATTCGGATCCCAAAATGGCCGAACAGGAGGCTGTTTAGTGAGAAAAGTGTGCTCTAAAGGCAAACTGGAATGGAAAGAGCAAGCCCATCTGCAATATAGGGAAGCCTTCAGGCTCTCCAAGAACTGTGGTGAATCGATTAGAAAAGCATCTTGATTCCGATGAAATACCAAATGCTGTCCAGAAGAGCAACTTCACCCGACGTCGCAGGTGCACTTCAAGCGAACTGATGATTTGAGATGAATGTTAAAATAGGGTCGAGGTCCTTCCGCACCAACCTCGAACAAAACAGAAAAGCGTTGAGGGATGCCGTGAAACCTGAACATACGCGGCATGCTCGAACAGTCCAGTCCAGGCCATTCCGGATCCTGCCGCCCTGTTGCCGCTGAATGCTTGTTTTTGTTTCCCTTTTCTCACAGGATTTGGGCAATTTTATCCAGCCCTACGCTGTGAATCTCCAATAGCCAATCGGTTTATTTTAGTCAAGCATTAAGATAGGGGTCGCAGCCCTCACGACTGAGACCAAAGCTTCTTTGACGGTCTAAAATGGGCTACATGCTCTACTTCTGGCCATTGTGATTGGGACCCAATAGTATAGCGAGTGCTCGGGGCATCTCCCTCCCGCCCATTCTGAAGGGAAGCGACACCAGGAAGGGATTTCACATGGAAAACATGCAAAGCCCATGGTTTGGAGAACGCAGGACGAACCATTTTGGCTTTTTGGATTTCTGCTTCGTCCAGGCTGCCACATGCGACGCAGAAAAAGTCTCCAACTACCCAGATTCGGCCGTGAGTCTCTACTATTCCGTGCATCCCCCCCCTTCGTACGAGACGCCCACCACCGCGAGGCTCGGCCGTGTGAGCGTCCTCGCCCGAAGTGAAGGTTGAGGGCTGCGTTTGCTCTCAGACACCACCAAGTGAAGTTTTTTGTATGTTCCAAAGAAGCTCATCATGCCAGCCAATAGCTCACATGTTGGAGTTTAGCCGGATGTCTCACCCATCACCGAATCGCAGTACAATCAATCTGGTGGGACGTCAGAGCTTAACTGTCCGTCAGTCGCCGACTTGCTTACCAAATTCGTTCGTCTGTTTTTTTGGTATACCTTCAGCGCTAGATCCGTTGAACGTCTTACTCCGAGAGTCAAGAACGATGAATCGAACGCTAAATAGGCGCTATTATGATCCACCGATGCGGCTGCCGTGCCGGCCCCGATCAATCCGGGGCCAAGTGGAGACGATGTAGTGTAGCACCCCGAAGATGATCACGTTTTCTTCGGACCCCCACGCGTTATCCCGCCATTTCTCTTGGGGCGAGTGGGCGACCGACCCCAGCAATTTTCCTCCAACAACAATTTACTCCGCAGAATGGACCCTTTTGCATGTGAGTAGGGATCGACAGCCCCGTCGACAAGAGAACTGAATAGATTGCTGGACCAATCGAGAAAGACTTCACGTTGCGTTCGTTACGCTTTTGGTAAGTGTCCGTTTCAACCGAGTAGCCATGGTCGAATCTCGTGAAGCATGGTTAAGAATGGAGAGGATGCCGTCTCATTCGGCGGAATTGAAATACCCCGGGCATTCCACCTAAGAGGGCATCTTGAGAGTCCTGGAACGGCTAGCATTGGAGGAAGACGTTGCCACAATGCCAAGAGAGCAATATGTCGGCCTAGATATTCTCCTCTCATGGATGTCTTGGCTTCATAACAGTTTGAGACTTGAGGAGGAGTAAGGAGAGATTTGTAGTAAAGAAATCATATCATTATGCTACTGTGTCTATCAGCAGTCGGCATATAAGCGATCGACGTCCGCATGTTTGCCTGAAACTTATGATAAGCCTCGGCGCTCCACCGAGATCGTGAAATTTGTTTATCTTGTATATATCCGTACTTCGTCTTTTTCATCTGTGTCGCCATGAAGTTGTCCGGCTTCGCGTCCTGGGCCTTGCTGGCCGTCGCTGTGTCGGCTTCGCCTACTCCTACGAATCCTAACGGTCATCTTTTGAATAAGAGGGCTGCTATCACGGATGCAGCGAATATTGGTTATGCTACTCAGAATGGCGGGTAAGGAGAGACGACACCAAAACTCTTTGAATAATCTGAACTGACCTGTGAAATTTAGAACCAAGGGTGGCGCCGGGGGAACTACTACCACAGTGACAAACCTGGCTCAATTGTCCGCCGCGGCTATTGCATCTGGCCCAGGAATTGTCATTGTTTCAGGGAACATTGTCGGCGCGGCAAAAGTTCAAGTCGGCTCTGATAAAACTATTGTTGGAAAGACAGGCAGCTGTAAGTGACGCCACTCAGTTGAGTTCACTCGAAGCTCATGGTTTTTCGTCCACAGCTCTCGAGGGAATCGGCCTCACTATTCTTGGTCAAAAGAATGTCATCGTCCGCAACATGAAGATCAGCAAGGTCGAAGCCGACTACGGCGACGCCATTACCATCCAGCTATCCAAGAACGTATGGGTAGACCACTGCGACTTATCTGCTACCCGCGACGGCGATAAGGACTTCTATGATGGGTTGACTGACCTCTCTCACGCCGCTGACTGGGTCACCATCTCTCACACGTACTTCCATGACCACTCCAAGGGCTCTCTGGTTGGCCACTCTGACAGCAATGCCGCCGAGGATACGGGAACTCTCCACGTCACCTATGCGAACAATCACTTCTACAACGTTCGCAGTCGTGGCCCCCTGTTGAGATTCGGAACCGCCCATGTTTACAACCAGTTCTACAACACAATGGATACGGGCCTCAACACCCGCATGGGCGCACAAGCTCTCATTCAGAGCTCTGTCTTTGAGAATGTTGGGAAGAAGGCCATCTTCAGCGAGTCTAGTAAGGAGATTGGGTAAGTGTGTTCAACCACTTTGGTCCACCTTAAGCTGGTAATATTTCGTGACTGATGATGCTGCTCCATAGGTATGCTGTTGCTATTGATGTTGTGCTTGGTGGTGAAAGCCAAAACACTGCATCAGTCGGCACGCTGAATGCTAACAGCCCTCCTTACTCTTACTCCCTGCTTGGATCTGCCAATGTGAAGGCTGCTGTGACCAAGGAAGCCGGACAGACCCTTGGATTTTGAGTGGATCACGTCGAGTTGTATTGTCCATGTGATAACCCTAATCCATCGTGTGTGCCTACCAAGGTTTCCAGACGGAATGCATTAATCTGGAAAACCCAATGGATGTCATATTTTCGGAGTATTAAATTGAAATCTATATCACATTCCCTATCTCATTCATGATCATGTGAATGGACTCAAACTGGATTCGAGTCAACAAGCGGTGAAGCAACGAGTTGATCACCTGAGCATCAACCTGGTATAGATAGTCCTTGTACTGAGAAGAATGCTTGTCTTAAAGCTTGGCGACTTAATCTATCCCGTGGGTCGTCGGGTTTCACCCAGAGGTCTGAACAAGGTTGTCCAAGCAAAGGTCGCTCATATTGATCACGGACCACTAAATAACACTTGATATACTATGACCGATCACCCCAACCTTAGTTCTTGACGTTAAGTCTGAAATGCGAGTCATCACCTTGAGAGAGATCCGACATAAGCGAAGAAAACCCCGTTGCGACTGATGAATGCGTGCCCAGAACCTTTGACAGCAACTCTCCTGACTCGATCGCTCGAGGTGACAGGTTTAAGCGCGACAAAGGGCGCTTATGAGAAGCAGTACGCTCAATATGAGGTGTTTCGCATGCACTCTCGTGCATTCGGCGGCGCCGCTACCCGTTGGCGTCACCACAGCCGCGCTCGTTTGTGTTGATGACGCTGTAGTAAGCGGTGCGGATGCTGCGCTTGAGTCAGACATTGAGATAGAAGCTTTTTGAGACGACGAAATTATCGTGATATCTGTCGTCACCGTCGCGGTTGGCGTTGTAGTCTGACTATCAACGACAGACGTAACCTCGCTGATACGCGAGTAAATATCGGTCGTCCAAGACCTAGTCGTCCACGAGAGAACAGGTGTGTTGGGAAAACTTGTTGGCCATGCCACGCCTGACAGTGTCACCGTGGCGCAGACAACCTCCCAAGATGAGGGCTCTCTTGTGCCGTCGGTGAGACACATGAAGTGGTCACTGAATCCGTAGGGGTTATTCGGATTGTCGGCATTCATCTCCGGACTGATTTGACAAAAGGTAGCGCACGAGACTGGGTACGCTTTGTCATTGAGCGACGTCGGGCTTGTGATATTGTAGACCGTACCGGAGCAGCACTGCGCAAAGTGCGGGGCGCTGTTACGGCCGACGGGCGGAGTCTTGCATATTATGCCGGCGATGGACTCTGGCCATTCAGAGAACGCGTTAGACGAGAGTGTGTTGAAGGTCACATCACCAGCACACCTCGGATGTATGCTCATGGTGGCTACTTGTGCGTTTTGAACAAGATTGTAATGTTTTTGTTTGCCTTGGGAACATGGGCAAAGAAGCCAGAGATCCGTAAGCTCAATAAACAAGGCGCGAAATGTGTGCAGAAACCTGCTGACGCATCAGGGTGTGATGACTAGGCTGCCGCCGCTAGCTTGAATTTGGTATGTCGACTAGGGTGGCGATCGTCATGTCCTATCATCTTGAGGGACTTTAGTGAAAGTGTACTTAATTGCGGGCTTCTGACAATCTTGTCGTTTGGTTGAGTTCGGCATTTTTGAAGGGGAAACCCGAATACCATCTAAAATCAAGAGTACAGACAAGTCGCTCCTAAACATTCAAATATGGGTGGCAGTTCCGATACTCTCGAATACTCGTAAGACAGTATCTCGAGTTCTAGACGCGATTTCCTCAATCTCTTCGCTTGTACTGGTGTATGCAGGCGCAAGAAGGACATGATCGCCCAGAACACCGTCTTTCGTTCCCATTCCTGGATACAAGCTGATGCCGAAGTCGTTGAATCCAACAAGATGAGTTTTGTTCGCAATATCCTCAGATCTTGGGAAAGGTTCTTTGGTAATTTTGTCCATGACAAACTCGATCTACAAGAGAAAAGCTTGTGAGTTTGCGCCTCAAGAAAGTCAAGAGTGAATAGGCTCTAATAGACTTACCCCCCAAAAGAGGCCTTTGCCTCGGATATTACCAACATGAGGGTGGTCATCTAGGTAGTACCGCAACCGCTCTTCAAGCAGAGCGCCCTGTTCTCGAACGTTTGCAATGAGATCCTCTTCTCGGATTATCCGCTGGACTTCTAGTGCGGCAGCGCATCCAACGGGATGGCCCTGATAAGTGTGTCCATGTGAGAATGAGCTGTATAGTGGTTAGTCAGCCCTGAATGACATGTAGGAGAAGACTGAAGAGATCTTACCCGCTTCCTTTCTTGAGAGCATCAGCCACACAGTGATTGATAAGCATACCAGCCATGGGCGCATAGCCGCCGCCGAGACCTTTAGCAAGCGTCTGAATGTCAGGGATAACTCCTTCTTGTTGCCACGCATGCAGAGAGCCGCAGCGGCCCATGCCGGACATGACCTCTAGATGTATGCCAGTGATTAGTACAACGTGATGAACAAGTCCGCTTGAAGTTCAATGTTCTTACCATCCAAGATAAGGAGAGCGCCATACTTGTCGCAAACCTTTCTCATGGCCTTGAAATACCCAGGCAGAGCCGGAATACAACCCAGAGTCTGCAGGAATACACATGAGAACGAGGTCATAATAGTTGAGAGAACGGAAGACAACTTACCGCTCCAACAACAGGCTCTGCGACAAATGCGCAAACAGAATCGGGGCCAAGCTCTTGGAATTTTCGATCCAGCTCATCGGCTAGCTGAGCGATGTATTCCTCCTCGGTTTGGCCCTCGCTCATACCGCGGTACGGATTGCAAGCCGAAACTCTGTATATGTTCGGGAGCAGCATATCGAGGAAGAGACTCCGCCGCGCAACATGCCCGCTCATTGACAGCGAGCCAAGCGTCGTGCCATGGTATGATCCTTCTCTGGCAATGAAATTAATCCGCTTTGGCTGTTGAGGAGTCAACTCCATGAAGTATTGTCGTGCCATCTTCATTGCGGATTCCATAGCCTCAGAGCCTAGGAGCGTTAGTGCACTGTCGAGTGATTGTTATTCTTTCCGCTAGAAAGGGGTTGAGAAGCATACCCGAGCACATTATGTACACTTTCGACATGGCACCCCCTGTGCCGTGAATGAGTTCATTTGCAAGCTTCTCCCCAATCTCGTGGCCAAAAAACATGGAGTTGCAGTAGGCAAACTTGTCAATTTGCTCAACCATGGCTTTTTTTACCCGTGCATTGTTCGATCCTATGCACGCTACTGCTGCGCCGCATGTTGAGTCTAGGATGGTTCGGCCATCAGAAAATGTTAAATATTTGCCCTTTGCCGACACCACATGTGGTGGCGCGCTTTTCAGTGATCGGTGGAGGACTGCGCTGGCAGATGGAAGTCCGTTTACGGCGGGGTTGAGGGTTGATACCATTTCTGGACCAAGCTTCGCGGCTATCTTGACGATCTTTTGCGACGCGGTGGCCATCTGAAGAATATTTGTAAAGGCTGGTCAAGTGGACAGAATGAGATGGACGTAGTACTCGAGGGTTTCCGACGTTGAAAGCAGATGTACCCGAGCTGACAAGCTTTATGACCATCGGCGGGAAGTGGCAATACATATCTAGTCCCAAGAGTACTACTTTGTATCGTTATCGTTGCTTTCATCTGAACGCTGGCCGAGATTGGATGCCAACTATCTGATACGGTATCATGTGGGCTCAAGGCGTATCTGCATGGCGTATCTGGCGTGTGTGGAGGCTTTGCGTCGGCCTAAGGCGGGGTAAGGACCGGCTCCGATCTTCCTGGCCTCCCTAGATCTAGTCGTGAGCTTAAATATTATTGGTTCAGTATCGATCGCTGAGCGTGGTTTATACATGGTCGCCGACCTCACGCTCAATTTAGCTAGCCTTTGTTTATGCATTCCTATCACATTAGTAGACTGATACGGATCAACACATGTACCGATAACCGGCCCTAAGTCAAGAGAAGATGCTCCCCAGTCTCATCCAAAATGTCGGTCCAGTCTACCTCCTCAGTCAAATCTGAGCTTTGCCGCCTTTGCCATAACTCTTCTAATATTATTAAAGAACGAGAAATGTTCTGGAACCGTCGTTTCTGCAATGTCATCTGTAACCGAACACGGACAGCATCCATGTGTTCGTCCTCGGTCGCCTCGCCGCCAGCAAGGAAGAGAGGAAAGAGTATTGCTGATTCTGTGTGTGATCCAACTGGGATATCTGATACGTGTCTGAGGATGTTAGACACCTGCGTCCTCATCTTTGTCGGTAGTATGCCCCATCTTGTTACTTGAGAGCTTGCGTCTCGAGTAGACAATTCGTCCAAACTTATTCGACTCCGTATCAGTCGGAATAGGACAATCAGGACAGCGCTCCTGAATGCATGCGCCAAGGCAGCGAGTTCTGGAGCAGCATCTGGCCTACATCGCCAGTCTTGTAACTCTTGCTCGACACCATCGCAGGTGGCATGAAACGATTCCCTTCTTCTGGTCATTTCCTCGGCTCCCAGAGTGACATCGAGTCTGGTCTCTTCATCGATGCTACTCAGAGTAGCTACATAGCGCAAGAGATCGGTGGCGACTCCTAGGTAGGTATCCACAACATCTGTGATGCCGTCCAGATAATTGCAGTCCAGCAGCGGCCTCCTTCGCATAGTCACACTGCCAATCATGTCATGATACGCAAAGTTTCGAAGAATCCACTGGCCCTCAGAGCTCAGTTTGAAGACTTCTGGTCCTCGCAAAGTCGTGCCCGAGCTTGGGTTGACCACAGCGGATTCGATGATAAGCTTGGCACCGTTGAGGTGGGCACACCACCCGTCGTTGTCTCCCACGCATACTTCGCCAATGACAAAGGCTAAGCATGTTGCTGCTTTGGTCTCGTACCATGAAATTTCGTGCTGCGGCTGACTGAGGGCTGTGGCGAGGTTGGTGATCGCTGTCGAGTGTGCTTCCAAGGCAGAGACCCGATATGACTCATTCGAGAGTGACAAGTGACCAGAAGCAAAAGCGACGAGTGCGTCGTAAAGCACGCTCGACTCCATAGCCATTGGCAGAAACTCTGAAGTAGTTTCAATGTCAGCTATAGTCCACCTGGACATATAGAGATGTGTCTTGTTCATTCAAAGAGTGACGAACCAGACAGGAAAGAGTTGAACTGCTCGCTTGCAGTCAAGAAATGACTCAACACTGTAATGTAGTATCGCATTACTTGTCGCTTCTGTGGCGGTTCGGCCTGGTCCATGCCCGGCGGTGAAGGAAGCAACGGAAAACATGACGATGGCCGATGCGAGTTATCTCTCGTGGACGGTTGCGGTGCCTGAATTGCCTGCGGTGTGCTCTTCTTCTGTTCGACCCAGGTCGTCGGAACTACATCGCGAGCCGTCGATCGGATACATTTCAGATTCAATCTGGAACATGTTCCACAGATGGGAAATGTATTTTCAACGCACTTCTTCCTCCTGATGTTCCAAGAATACTTATCAGAATGAGAGGTCCCGCGACAGGGTTATCGGTGAGGCGGGCTTACCGATATCGGCAGGTCAGACATCCTGTTTTGTCGTGTTTGGAGCCCTTTCGTCGCCGCGTTTCTGATTGAAAATGCAAAGACATGATGGCCTCGGGTTGACCTTCCATTATGAAGAGCAAGCAACGTTGCTATGATCCAACTCCGGCGTGTTGGGCGTAACAGACAACAGACACGTGGGGGCTCTTGATGTCAAGAAGGAAAAAGAGGGACTCTTTCAGCGGCCCGAGCACGATGAGTGGATTACGGGGACAAATAACGGAAGTTTCCAAAGTAATTACTGGGACACTTGCCTGATCAGTCCTAGCACCAATGTGTCGGTATGAATGTCTTTCCCCGCCATGGACGAGCGTCATCGGCCCTTCACTACGGAGTACATCTTGAGTCTTTGCAGGAATTCTTCCTCGTTGATTTCACTTGACACACTTATCTCTTTTCTCACTTTATCTTATCAGGATAACACGGTTCTTTTTTGTCGCTATCTTTAGATGTCAGCCAATCGCTAGGGTGCATGACTCGAGCTAAGGACAAAGAGGCCGGAATTCGTCGCCGGAAAGAATTGCGGAAGGCTTCCCGTAGCCTCTGAGTCAGCTCTACTCAAAGAGAACCTGAAAACTCTAAGACGAACAATCGCGCATCAGCCAGGGCGGCAACTCGGTGCGGCACTACGAATCGCTTGTACTCTTCGCTCGCGATTGTGTCTCTAAAGACTCCGATGTTCTCGTATTGCACAAGAGCCACTTCATCCCAACCATCGTCCTCCAGTCCTAAAACCTTGCCAACCATTTTGCCTGAAAACGGGACGCGAGTCCCATTCATCGTTGGGAGAGCGAAAAAGGCGGGAACGTAGCGTTGTTGCCACGCATCTTGACCGCTACAAGCGGGGAGGGAGAGGATTTCGCCGGGAGCAGTAGGGTCGTAAACAGCGACGGGGTGAAATTTCAAGATGTTGAGCATGTACACCGGCTTGTTAGGATCGATAGAACCGATCGCATCTTCGACTGCCGATATGTCCGTAAGCTCGGTGGCAGGCATCGCAATACACAGATATGAGTTTCTAAGTTTAGTTGTTTATTGTAAGGTGATTTGCTGGGCTACAACTGAAAGTGAAATTGTGACATCCGTCCGCCATTTGTACTTGCTGGTAGACTGAGTTAACACGTTGACCACTTCATCCCAGTCTAGATTACCTTGTTACGGATAATAAATGTCTATTTTTGCGGATATTGCGGATAGCTCAGCCGATTTCCAACCATTGCCTAATCTAAGCCTGAGCTAAGCCTGTCTACTTAGACCGTCATTATGCTACGCTATTCGGTGATTACATGCACTTTTGAACAGTAGGATAGTTTGTCAATAACCCACTGTATTAAATTGTCTATTCAGCGTTTGTCAGCGGTTTTGTATGGCGAGAGGATCTTCTCGCCTCCTGCGGTCGAAGCCGGGAACGTTACGTGAAGTGGTGCCGCGGGATCTGATCGGGTAAGCCAAGAGCATCGGGGAAGCGTATAATATATCCGGCCCAGCTTACCAACTCCCTTGACTCGTATCCCCAGCCTCTTTTCGTCTGACCCAGCATCGAAGAAGCTACTTATGTACGTACCAATTGTAAAAGGGTTTGACACATCTATCAGTACTCAGGCATTCGCAGCAACTGGCTCATTGGAATTTAAGCCCTCCTAAAAGAATATAACATGTATGTTTTGTCCTGGTTTAACGTAGTCTCAAATTGGCTTTCTGATCACAAACTTCCATTGGACCGAGAATAGTGTAGCTCATGTTAGTAACGAAGCACATTCTTCAAACTCAGAAGTTTAGAGAGGGAGCCCTTCAGTCGCCAAGGTTTTGCATGAATCGAAGAAGAACTATTTGCCAGTAATGGTTTCATCTAGGCCATAAAGTGATCAGAAAAAAAGCATGCTCTTCCAAAACTTACAGAAACAAAGAACTTGGGCGGGTGTCAGTGACAAGACCTATTGCACTCAACTCCGGAAAACCTGATTACTGATCACACCAAATTCTGATCTTTTATCCAGCGCAGGACCCCACACCCAAGAATTCAATACGAGACACTACCCACTTGCCTCTAACATCTTGATGGGATTGCGTAGCATGGTAGTTCAGGCGGAGAGAGACTGTGGTACCTTTTTCAGTTGGCATTTGACTCTGAAGATCGGATGGCATCGAAGAGACGTTGCGTTTGTATGGAACAGTGGGGGGCAACCTGCCTAGGTCTGCGCCTCCGGGTTGGTTGGTGCTTGGTGAAATCTTCATTTCTGAGGGCGCAGTTGTAGAGACGCAGTCGTACACGCCCCACCGTAACCCCAATGTCTTTCCAGACCCTGGGAGGTAAGATGCATGGCCCATGTCATAGACTCATCAATTTAGCAAATCCAGCTGGTCCCTGCGCAAATTTGACGAGACTCGTTTCTGCATGAGGGATTGACGAAAGTGCAGAAGCAGTCATTGCCTCCTTAGAGAGCCGGGACTCGGGTTTGTATCGGAGCACACTTGGCTCACATGGAGCTACGGTTCGCCGTGGCAGTATTCTCCCGCAAACGCCGAGGCATAAGAATAGCTGACGATATGACCGATGTTGTGATGGAAATGCGTAATGTCTGGCTCATTAGTCCGGTCGGTCATAGGTGCGATGTCACGCTTGAATAAAACTTGCATCCTTGCTTCAGTGTGTTCTCATAGACGTGACTCTTGTGAAGGAGTCTGCTGAGGGATTATACAAGCCGGTTATCGCTGAATGCCATTTCTAGAGAGCATCAAGACTTGTTAAACCTGAAACCTACGCAATGCCAGGTGTCTTTCAACTGTCACTGCCTGGGATTCGACTGAAAGGTTAGTTGCGGAAGGCTCCCTGTAGCCTCAAAGGTATTGCAAAGAGTCTTGACTTTGAACTCGCTCCATAACTTAATCAAGCATGACTTATATAATTCCCAAATAGTCTTGTGTCTGTATATCACAACTGTACTCCAAATTCCCAACTCATAGGATAGGCGCTGGTTACTTAAGCACGCCTACCACTATCCTCAACCATCGTTACATGGGAAACAACTTTGTCTTCCTCGTGCTGCAATTGCTCCTGAACATCATGCCGAACCTTCTCATCCTCGGTGGGATAGGCGCGCTTGAACATGGTCCATAGTGAATGAGCAAAGAGGTCGTCCATGGATTCGATGCTTCGGCCCTTGAGCTCGGGTAAACAGAAAAAGACAAAGATGACACCAATGTACGTCATGATGGAGAAAAACAAGAACGTGCCGTACTTCATGGTACTCAGCATGTGTGGTGTGGCGGACGTGATACCGTAGTTGACAATCCAATTTGTGAAGAGGCAGCAGGACATGCAGACCGATCGGACGCGCGAGGGGAAGATTTCAGCGGCTACGACATATGGTGCTACTGAGTGCCCGAAAGACCAACCAAAGGCGTAGAGGTATATCCTGACTTCGAATTAGACAGAAATCACTTTGAGAGTGTACGCTTCAAGAAACTCACATGATAATGCCCACAATGCCACCCGGAGTCGTTCCACTACCAGGCTGAACATCGGAAAAGCGGAGGAAGAGACCTATGTAGAGCATGGCTGTAGCCTGAATTGTTGCTCCTATCATGAGAGGGAGACGACGCCCAACACGATCAACAATTACAGTGACGTAGATGATGGTTGTCGCAAGCTTTACAACCCCGTAGACTCCAGTTGTCAAAAGAGAACTCGAGCCTTTAGGTACTCCAATCATGGCGAAAATTTGAGGCGCGAAGTAGTTCAGGGAGTCAGTGCCTAAAATCGCGCCTTGTAAGCCTAATGACAAAGCATGATTTGAAGGATAGTTCGGGTGGTTCTACCTGTGAGCTTATGGAACAGGAATAGCATGACGGCAAGGAAAAGTCGCCGCCGATTACTGGCGTTGGTGACGATGTCTTTCACCACCACCACATAACCATGGCCTAAGAGCATGGGTCAACTTTATTCTTGGGCATGTATGTCTCCGTGTCCTATGTCTTGACATACCCTTTGCTTGGCTTTGCTCGGCTTCCGACTGGGCCAGAATCTCTAGATACTCTTGGTGTACGTATGGGTGCTCGGCCGGCAGGCCTCTCAGCTTGCACAGGTTCTTAAGTCCGCGCTCTTGTTTGCCTTTCGAAATAAGGGCTCGTGGTGTCTCGACGACGACTATATTAATGGCCACGTTAGTCTTTGGGGGCCAACGTGGAAGATGCTATGTATAGCGAGGACTTACACCAGATAAGAGCGAAGAGGAAGAAGCCTGGGATTAACTGAATACCAAGAGCCAACTGCCAAGCTTTGTTGTTGTCGGGGTCCTGATTGGGCCAAAGGCTGACTGCATAGTTTACCCAAAAGGCAATAGCGAGTGCCAAGATGATCATCAAGTTGTACGATGTAGTAAGGGACCCTCGGATCGACTTTGGGGAGTTTTCTGCCAGGTATTGGGGAGCTAACTAAAGGTTGTGCATTAGTCTCATCGCCGAAGTCTCGTTAGGTTTGCAACCAGAGTACTAACCATTGAGGTCGCACCGATTGCTACACCAGCTAGGAGTCTACCGGCGTAAAGGACGTTCAGGTTGGGAACTTCTTGCATGGAACAACCTATAAGAAATAGAGCGGCCATTGATGTGACGGCTTTCTTCCTGCCAAGGAAATCGGAGAGAGGCGCTGCTAGCAAAGCACCGGCAGTACCGCCGGCAGCGACTGAGATGCCATGTTAGAGGGGATGTGTTAATCAGGTATTGATTGAGGTTTACTTACGCATGGCTGCTATGTTGCCCTCTGTGTTGGGTTTCTGTTAGCAGCAGTTCAAACAAATAACAGGAACAGAGTGATAGAAGTGAACGACTTTACCTCTCGTATTGGCTTCTTCTTCGCTTATTGTATCAAACCCAAAGGCCCGCCGAAAGGACGGAAACGTCATGATGCCCCCAATATTTCCCTGGTCAAAACCGTACGAACATCCCGCAAAGGCTATTGTGATTCCCAACAGCAGAAGCTTGGAGTTGAAGATCTCTTTCGGATCCTTCTTCCAGTCGGGCGAAGCCCACAGCGATGTTCCACCGCCCATTGTCGAAGAGAGTGTGCCTGCGAAAGTCGAAAGGAGTTGAGTGGCGTGTTGCAAGAAGCTGAGTTCGTCGGGCCAGAAACTCTATACTCTTGGCTCTCTCTTGGTTTTAGATCCAGTTAATAAGAAGGTTGTGACTGTATCATATACCCGGATAAACTGACTCGATCCCCGTGCCAATTCACAAACTGGCCCTAGCACTCACCTTCCCCCATGGGGAGCAGTTCCAAGAGCCGAATTACCCCGCGTAATCCACAGCATTTCTCGAGCCATGGATGCATGGGGGTGCTTATTGGAAAATCAATCAACACTATTATCGGGGAGAAGGCCGTAGTCATGAGGTGTCATCAGGTTGCATCGCGTTGCTATTTGACAATGATTGATCGTCGCCTGCTCAGTTTCTGGCTTGTCCCGTATTCAGAATGACCGGCATTGTTCTACGCTGCTTTGCTCGTGGCTGTGAGCGTTGTTCGTTACCCTTAGACAGAATAGGAAATTCGGAGACTTGTCCTAGCTCAGAACTCTCCAAACGCCTATGACACGGAGCCTGGACGGAGGCTTCCCGGGAGGTATGAATTGCGGGGCCGGAAATCGCGCCGGCGGGCGAAGGTAGTTGATGCGGGGAAGGGCGGGAAGAGAGTGCGTGTTGCAGTCGTACTCGGCAAACATGATTCGACTCAAGACATACATGTAGACTCAACCTGGCTCTACAGGGCGGTAATACCAGACTTGATGGCTGGACCGATACTAGACAACTTACCAGTTCAGACACTCTTCGGCCAGCTTCCCATTATCGGGTTAGATAGACTTCAAATTCCCAATAACTTACCAGAGCGCCCGCACAACTAGGTCTACCATGTCGGCAAACCTGCAGACTGCAGCCATCCCCGCGGCAACGGTTCAGTCCCATGCATCCAACCTACTCCAACTGCCCAACAAAACCCTACTATGCGCATGGTTCGGCGGCTCCCAGGAAGGTCTCCCGGATATCAGCATCTGGCTATCTCGTCAAGAGCCTGGCGCAACTTCCTGGTCGGCGCCTGAGAAGATATCTTCCGATACCAACCGCAGCTGCCAGAACCCGGTACTCTTCCGAGCACCCAAGACGGGAGATATCTGGCTCTTCCACACCTCTCAAGATGCCGGCAACCAAGATGGGGCAATCGTCATGGCCCGCACATCAAGCGACAATGGCAAGACGTGGTCATCGCCTCGCTATCCACTGAAGGGTGTCACCGGAGCCTTTGTGCGACAACCTCTCGTCGTTCTCGGAGATGATACTTGGGTCCTTCCAGTCTTCCACTGCCGATCAACACCAGGTCAGAGGTGGATTGGAAACAATGACATCTCTGCGGTGTTTCACTCTAAAGACGAGGGTCAAACATGGACGGAGAATGTGGTGCCTGACAGCATTGGATCTGTCCATATGAACATCATCGCACCAAAGAGCCAAGATTCCGAATATGTAGCATTCTTCCGCAGTCGGTGGGCAGACAACGTCTACCGTTCAACATCGCCAGATGGCCTGAACTGGGCTCCTCCCAAGCCGACTTCTCTTCCGAATCCCAACAGCGGTATCTGCGCCGCACGACTACCATCAGGTAACCTGGCCATGGTATTCAACCGTTCCGCCGCCGAGCCTGACATGGCCAAGCGAGAGGGTCTCTATGACGATATTACACCAGAAGACGACAAGAGGCCTAACCAAGCTTCAGTCAATGGAAAGAATGCGATTTGGGGAACACCGCGCAAAACGCTTACGGTGGCGGTGTCTAGCGACGATGGCTTGACATGGAAGGAGAAGGTCCTTGAGGAAGGCGATGGGTTTTGCATGACAAATAACTCCATCGAGAAGACGAATAGGGAGTTGAGCTATCCTAGCATTTTTGTTGAAGAGGAACGTGTGCATGTTGCTTTCACATTTCATCGCCAGTATATCAAATATGTCAGAATAGACGATTTAGAGAGCTGGGTAGATCAGGCATAGCTTCATATCCATTTTCAAAACACACCCGTTACGCCCCACACATCGCTTCGAAAACCATGATCGTTATGCTCTGACAAATGGCTGCACTTCGAATTTTGCATCAGATTTGTCTCCGCTTATCGCACTTGAATGCGTTCATAGGAGGATCCGTGTAATATGATGGAGTCAAGTACGGATACTACTTCTTGACTTGCTAAGGGAAATCCTGGCATTGTCGAACATGCACTTGATACCTATTACAGTAGCGAACGCATACTGTATGATCCCAGTTGAGGTAGTAGCGCAAGTCAACAAACGCCTGATCAATGATCTATCTGTAAACCGGCTATTTGTTCCACGATCTTTGCTTTTCCGTTTCTCCGAGTACACCAAGTGTTTCTAAAGCCCATTTCTTAGTTGCGTCGCCAAGTGGTAAATACGGCCGCCTCATCTCCCACGACGACTCGTCAGTAAGCCCGATGTCGCGACCAAAGAAGTGCCAAGCACCGTACTTTGTCAAGGCAATACCCTTCTTACAAGCCCATTCTGCATTCGCGACATCGTACTGCAGTTTCAGTGACTCTTCTGCTTTCCCAGCCTTCCACAGATCATACACTGCTGACGTTGAGCCCGGAAAGATGTTTCCCATACCCGTTACGCAGCCACTTCCCCCAGCCTGCAGCGTTGGAAGAAGGTAGTCACTGCTACCGCCAAAGACACCAAATTGCTCATGTGTAAACTTGCTAGTCAAACGAGTTACCTTGCCGACGTTACCGCAGGTCAACTTCACGGCCACAATATTGGGATGCGACGCGAGAGCAGTGATCTGATCCGAATCGAGATCCACCCCAGATGTGACGCCGGGGAAATTGTAAATGACAATCGGGATGGGAGAGTTATCCGCGACGTCTCGGTAGAATCCCAATATCGCGTCACTGGATAAGGCTTTAGCCCAGTAGCTGGGCGGGAGCAAAAGTCCAAAGCTTGCGCCTGCTGCGCTGGCATCTTTGGCGTTGAGGATGGCTTCGCGGGTCGATTCCGCGGATATTCCAGCTACAATAGGGTAGTCAGGCTTTCCAAGGTCTTTGACAGCGCGCACTGCTGTTTCGAGAATAGCCTTGCGCTCGTCTGCTGTCAGGAGAACGAGCTCGCCGTTGGTTCCAAGGTAGACGAGACCGTGCATACCAGCGCGGACTAAGGCCTGGCATTGCTTGTAAAGTGCGTCATAGTCTACTGGTTGCAGAGGTTCACCGGCTTTGTAAATTGTGACGACGGGGGTGTAAACCCCTGGCGGGAGGGGCTTTGATTTGGGTGCGATGGTGCTAGAAGGCATTGTGAAGGTCTTCATAAACGTGAGAAGAACGAAATAATGCAACGGAAGCCAGATCTAGCAGAAAGGTGATGCCGATGATCTTGGGGCGTAATTGAGTGTGAGGACTGGGATGCAAACAGCTTCACTTTTGGTCGAGAAAGTCAACCCCTCCTAATATTCGACTCCAAGTCTGAGATGCGGAGACAACTGCGGAGAGAGCTTCTCGGCCAGCTTATGGAGAAGAACCACAATCCACACGGCTTCTGCTCCGATCACGCAACCAGCTTGCACTTTCCTACCCGCATGGAAAACCTTCATCCAATCGATCAGTAGTAGCAAACATGTTTGAGGATTCGTGAGAAGTCATGTGGTTGCGAGCAAGAATCAGATCCTCGCGGTGATGGTCGCTGACCCGCTATCCACATCGGCGAGAATGCCGAAACATGGGGAACGAGCGTGCGGAGCTTACAGGGGTGGCAAAACACCGGCCGGAATGACGGGGATGTCGCGATCTGAGAGGCGATCCGAAATGCCATTAGCTCTCAGACAAACGCGGTGTAGGGGTTAATAGGGTTTGACCGTGGCTGTGGCAACTTCGGGGAATGGGAAATGGGATCTAAACACCAGGCTACACCATTTTCAACCTGCTTGACCAAACTCCCTCTTGCAAAAAAAGATCTCTCGCGTCTTGTTACTAGCAGACTCTCGGAATGTGCTTGTGAATTGGTGAGGAGCGAGTCCGAACGCGAGCAAAATTCGAAACACAATGACGACAAAGACAGAGGAGAGCGAGAGAGCCACAATAAGTGTGACAGATCTCAGCAAGCACAATACCAAGTCGGATTGCTGGATAGCAGTACACTCCAAAGTCTGGGATATCACCGACTTCATCAATGAACATCCGGGAGGTCCGTCAGGTGAGTTCCGCATAAGCTACTAGCCTCGTTCTTGGGGGAACTTACAAATGAACAATTGTCAGTTCTTCTTAAATGCGCTGGCTCAAATGCCACAAAGATATTCGACGAAGTCCACGCACCAGATATCCTCGAGGAGCTACCAGACGAGAAGTTCATCGGTATACTGAAAGATGCTACGCCAGACGTCCCTGCTGCTGCATCACAGCCCGAGAGTAAAAATGGCACATTATCTGCCCCCGCCGAGACTTCGAAGCCCTCCTCTGCCGAGGAAGACAGCATTCCGCCTCTAGAGTCCATCATCGGGGCGCCAGATCTAGAGGTTGTGGCCTCGAAAGCACTAACGCCAAAGACATGGGCCTTCTACTCATCCGCGGCTACCGATCTGATCACGCACCGAAACAACAAGCAGCTCACAAGAAGGATCATGATCCGGCCAAGGATTCTAAGAAACGTCTCGCATATTGATATGAAGACGAACATTCTTGGATTCGAAAGCTCGGCCCCGTTCTTCATCTCGCCAGCCGCGATGGCAAAGCTTGTGCATCCAGATGGCGAGCTGGCTCTCAGTCGCGGCGCAGCAAATGAAGGAATTATACAATGTGTGAGTGCTCAGGAGGAACTATCCCACAGGCGCCGCATCTGACTATGAACATTAGATTTCGAGCAATGCATCCTACACCCTCAAGTCTATCGTATCCGCCGCCCCGCCGTCACAGCCCTTCTTCTTCCAGCTCTACATCAATTCGGAACGTCATAAGACAATCGAAATCCTGCGATCGGCGCGTGCACTCGGCATAAAAGCAATTTTCGTGACTGTCGATGCCCCCGTCCCTGGAAAGAGAGAGGCAGACGAGCGTGCAGCCCAAGCAGGAACGATCCGAGCGGCCATCAGCGGCGCCGAAAGCAGCAAAGACAAGAAGGGTAGCGGATTGGGACGCTTGATGGCACAGTATATCGACAAGTCGATTACATGGGAGGACCTGACCTGGATCAGAGAGGCCAGCGGCGTGCCAATCGTGCTCAAGGGGGTCCAAACTGCTGACGATGTCAGATTAGCGGTTGAGTATGGGGTTGAAGCAGTCTTCTTGAGCAACCATGGTGGCCGATCTTTGGATGGGTAAGTCTATAATCTCGCGAAAGCGCTAGTAAGAGGAACCAGCATCTGACAGTGGCAAAAGGTCACAAGCCTCTATTCTAGTTCTGCTAGAACTCCGAGAACAATGTCCCGAGATATTCGAAAAGCTCGAAGTCTACATAGATGGGGGTTTCGAGCGTGGCTCAGATATTCTCAAGGCTATCGCTCTTGGAGCTACTGCTGTGGGCGTTGGAAGACCGTTCTTGTACTCTCTTGTGTACGGCCAAGATGGTGTAGAACACCTCTCTCAAAGTAAGTCCTCTCAACTTGTCATATGCGGTACTATGAGGGCTAGGGCTAACCATCGAACGCACGTTAGTTCTAAAAGACGAGTTGGAGACCTCCATGAGACTTTGTGGCATTACTAGCCTTAGCCAAGCTACCCCCGCGATGGTGAACACGTTAGATATTGACCATTTGGTGGTTTCCGAAGATAGAGCCCGGCAAAAGAGGCCTGTGAGAAGGCCAAGGTCAAAGCTCTAGGCTGTGTATAGGCACGCATAGATACCATGGTAATGATACATCAGTCATCTCATGATCACAATTGTGGAACGCCCATGGTAGCAAGACGTTGAGGAAACTGGGGATTGTATCGATGTACTTGAAACCGCTGCGGCAGGTCGAGCAAACTATTACACCTCTCATGTCTTCAAAGCGAATGGTATGCTACTTGAGTACTTTGCTAATGATCAGGATAGAGCCGTACATGAGCAATACGCGAAGTACATTTAGGAAAGGATTGGTGAATTCCATAATTATTAAGTTGGTTCTGCGCTGGTCATTCTATGGGCAGATCATGCCTGAAGGGTCTTCGCAAATGCCTCAACAGCTTCCAAAATCGTACCATCAGGTTCCAAGCCCAAGCCATACGCCCTACTGACATCGAAACGGGCAGCCCATGTCTCTACAATAGCCAAGATGGCGGAATCTTTCTTTTCTTCGATGAGCGCCAGCGATTCTTTGCCGCCCACCTTTTCCACCGCATCGAGAATCTCCTGCACCGTGACGGTGATACCAGGCAAGTTGACGACTCTCGATTCCCCAAACTTTTCTTTCGGCACATCCTTGACCTTGACAAGGTTCTTCACCACCGTAGCGGGGCTACAAACCCAGACTTCGAGATCACGGCTAACAGGCAACACATTCTTGATACCCTTCAGAGTCTCGCGAACAATACCTGATGCAAAACTTGATGCTGCAGCAGAAGGCGCACCAGGTCGCACTGTGACGGTCGGAAGTCGCACAATGCGGCCGTCGATAAGCCCACGCCGCGAAAAGTCCTCCACAAGCAACTCGATAATAAGCTTCTCGGTGCCGTACGATGTTCGCGGCTTCGGCACAATCTCGCTCTCGATAACAGGCTGGCGCGGGCCGTAGACGGCGCACGAACTGGTAAAGACAACCGTGGTGCCGGGGTAATGCTTCCGGAGGTGGTCGAGGACGGCACGGACGGAATCGAGGTTGACTTTGAGGCCCAAGTCGAGGTTCGCTTCCGCCCCTCCGGACATGAGACCGTGCAGGAGGTAGACAGCGGAGAACTGCTTCGAGAGCAGAGAGCTCACTGCTGCCGAATCGGTGAGGTCGGCTTTCAGAGCATTGATCTTGCTGCTTTCCCCTGCCACGTCGGCGGGGATGGGGGGTTCGATTACATCTGTGATGGTGAGGGTTGCTGAGGGGTCGGACTTGATGAGGGCGGAGACGAGGGCCTGGCCAACGAAGCCTGCGGCGCCGGTTACGAGGATTTCGTTTGACATTTTGGCTCAACTTTTGGCATGTAACTCTCTAGATAAGGTCTTGTGGAAACAGAGTTCTACAGTCAGGAAACGTTCACGCGTCTCGTCACAAAAGAGACGCGATCGCGTGCCCCTCGGCTTTAACTGATCCGATCTTGCTGTGCCGTCATGAGGGGTACAGTTCACTCGCATGGTTTTGTTGTCGGAGTTTCTCCTCACGCCTCTGTTGCCTGCACATTTACCGAACATATCCGGCGACTGAAGAACGGATATGCGGCCACACGCGAAGTTCAGACTTCAGAACGTGTAGATCGGAGAGGTCGCCGATGCAGGTCGTCTAATCCGGCCATCGGTGAGTATGCCGAACATCCCACCGGTGGATCTATGTCCGGGAGCTTCCCCGCACTGCGTAAGAGGGCAATCGCGCAGTCGGAGGTGGTGGGGGTGGTGAGGGATCCCGGCGACAGAGCTGAAAGCCGATGAAGTGATGCCGCAGAGCGAGGTAAAATGACGTGATGGTACAAAACAAAACCTCGGGGCTCTGTATGAATTGGATGAGAACTGCTACAGAGTGCCAACTGTCAGCGCTATCAAACTCAATCAAGCCGAATTGATAGACCTATTTGAAGATTTTTTGGGGTCAAAAACATGGAATACGTGAGGTTAGTACCACAATGATCTCAAGCACATTTGGTCCCGCATTGTCATGAAATTGTTCCTCTTCACTACAAAAAACTGCCATAAGCATTGTGGCTATCTGTAAAATGCTAATCGTTAGTATGTAGACTCGGCAACACGGGCCTCAAGGTCTCCAAAATCATCCTCGGATGCATGACCTTCGGCTCCTCCAAATGGGAAGGCTCACCATGGGTCCTCGATGAGGAAGAAGGACTCCAGATCCTCAAAGCAGCGTACGATAACGGTATAAATACTTGGGACACGGCAGACACATATTCAAACGGAAAGTCTGAGGTAATCATTGGCAAGGCTCTGAAGAAGTTCAATATTCCGCGCCAAAAAGTCGTCATCCTCTCCAAGATCTTCAACCCTGTTCCAGACGACGACTCCAGACCCGCCGGCGTCAATGATGGTCCGCTCGTGAACCAGATGGGCCTGAGCAGGAAACATGTATTCCATGCCGTCGACCAGTGTCTCGAACGTCTTGGCACAGATTACATCGGTAAGACTACTACGAGTAGCGCAACGAGAAACGTGCCGGAAGCTGATAACCCGTAGATGTTCTCCAGATCCACCGCCTCGATCGCGAAACACCACCGGAAGAAATCATGCGAGCCCTCCACGACGTCGTCCAGTCCGGCAAAGTCCGATACATCGGCGCCTCGTCCATGTACACATGGGAGTTTGCCCGCCTGCAATACATCGCCCGGTCCAACGGCTGGACAGAGTTCGTCTCAATGCAGCCATTCTACAACCTGCTCTACCGCGAAGAAGAGCGGGAAATGCTGCCGTTTTGCCGAGCAAGCGGTGTCGGTGTGATCCCATGGTCACCAATCGCTCGCGGCCTGCTGGCGAAGCCCCTCGCCAAAGAGAATGATGAAGGAACGTCGCTGCGTAGTCAGACGGATAAGAAGACGCAGGCGTGGTTTGCAGATGCGAACCTGGATATCGTAAACCGGGTCGAAGAGATTGCGAAGAAGAAGGGTGTTAGCATGGCCCTTGTATCGACTGCGTGGGTGCTGCAGCAGGGATGTTGGCCGATCGTTGGCTTGAGTTCCGAGAAGAGAATCAAAGAGACGATAGGGGCGCTCAAGGTGAAGTTGACAGAGGAGGAACTAAATTATCTGGAGAGCGAATATCGACCCAGGAATATTCAGGGTATGTAGATAATTACAAGCGTACGAATGAGAAGCTTTGAGAAACAAAAAGCAGCTACAAGGGCCGTTCTCTTTGTTGAATGTGGTCATGAACCGGGTCTTTCCATCTGATACTCTACGTTTGCAAAGTCTTGGCCCCCAATTGCTGTACCATCCGGGTTCAACGATGTCATGTCGAACTGAAATACTGGAGACAGACCGAAACTCATGTCATAGTCGAAGAAGAACTCTCCTTCCGGGCCCATTAGAGTCCCATCAGCGATACCACCGGCGAGCTGAGGATCGATGACCTGTGACTGGTCCCCGTTGACCGGTTGCGTATTCAATACCTGCGCTGATGTATCTCCACGGCCAGACCTCAACGTCCTAGCCATGCGCTCGAGACCAGGCGCCATGAGATTAGCTAAGTGCCACCGACCAGCTGGTAGAGATCGGAAGTGCCGCACAAGGCTCGTGGTCAGGTTCCAGACGCGCTCCGGCTCGATCAAGTCGCCGCCGTACTTGACTGCCACCTTGATGAGGAACATGCAGGCAAATGCCGTCATGCAGTGCAGGTATGACGGCATGCCCACTACACCTGCAGCGACGTCCGGGTCGGTGATGATGAAGTCAATGGTTGACGTCGCTACAGAGATAGCTGTTGCAGCGCATTCGAGAAAGTGGTGCGGTATCGGGCTGTCTCCGGAGAGGCCCCGGAAGATGTGAGAATAGAGATGAAGTTTGGCGAAGTGGAAGTGTAAGAGAGCGCCTTTGCGAGGGAAGCGGCCTATGTGTTGGTATTGTTCTATGCGTGGATTAGTACAACTACCCTGAGGATATTGAGTAAAGGACTGACTCACCTGATAGCGTTTCAGACCAATGTTTGATCCAGTGATCGAGCTCCTTGTTGAAATGAGTGATTTGGTGGACGTAGGTTCGTGGCGTCGGTTGACCCTTGTCAGGCCCGAATAGCTCTCGTATGCTACCAATAATTCCAAGAAGGGCAACTTGACTTGCGAGGCGCTTGTCTTCCTCGGTCGATATCGGTGACTGAAGAAAACTTTCCCATTGTTGCATAGACGAGTCTTCCTGCACGATAGCCGGCCTCCCATACAGCGTGGCAAGATGCTGATCGCATATGTTCAATATGTACCACAGCCGCGCCCCATCGGCAGCTTCCTCGCTCTTCTCTTGTATGGCGCGGGTATAACTGTTGTGTAGATTACATTCCGCCGCTCTCCTTATTGCATACCCGGACAACATCCAAGACATATCAGAGAGCCAGTACGACGCAACGCACATGGCGCGGAGATAATCACGGTTCACTCGCCGATCGAACATAGATCTCTCTGTGAGCCGCCTGAACTCCGAGCTGCAGATACCGTACAGACTGTTTGCCTGGGGATCGTGCAGCGCAGCAACAGTCAGGGTCGCCGCAGCCAGTATAGGACTTTTGCGACGCAACTCATCAAGCTGTTGGTACTTGCACCCCACGCCATACATGAAGGCATCGAGACGGTCTCGATAAAGACGGAAAAGGCGTTCGGCATCGTCTAGACGCAAGGCACCTCGGGCAATGAAGTCATCTTGAGCCGGACTGGAATGGCCTTCCGGGGCGTCTGGCGACCTGAGCGCCCTAAGTTTGGTGAGAGCGTAGAGTGAGTGGATCGGCACGTGGGGGAGGTTTTCGTCTTCGGGGGATATCTTGGGGGAGTTGTCGCACGAGGGACCGTGATTGTCTTGCCCGGCCACGCCAAAACGGGTTGCGTTGGCAGCTAGCCCGGGGCCGGACCGGCTCTGCTGTGACGGGGACTCGGCTGCTGTTTGAAGTGTTGAACTCTGTAGTGCCGCTGGCTCAGGTAGGCCCATCTTCTTGGTGACTTCTTTCAGAGTGTTGTGCAGGTTCTCAATGTCTTGTAAGACTGCTTCGTTGTACCTTTAGATGGTTAGTCGACTCAATGCCTCGTCTCCCTTCAGGTCCTCGCTGTGGACTTACTGTGTTTTCTCGTCGATGATACTCTGCAGGTTCTTGCCCAAGACACAACCCAGGTTTCTTTCAGAACATCGCCGACATGGTGGTCCGCTCTCGTCCATTAGACATTTGATCTTGGGGCCGGGTCAGCCTTGAGATATTTTCGCCTCTTCGATCCAGCTCCTATTTGTCTTTGCATACCTTGTGCTTTCTACAGGCCGCGCATGCCTTGATCTTTCGGGAAATTTGCGGAAAAGACTGCTCCCCGTTCCCGGTCGTCATCAACTACATAGGACTGGAGTATTAGTGTGTGATCTGAAGGCCCCAAACAAGGACCGCTCATCCTACCGTCATAAACTCCATGTTGTCATTGGCATCAGACCATGTTCTCTTCGCCATGGCTGAAACCTCGAGCCTCCGAATGAGGCTGGCGGTAGAATCTCGCACTCAGATCTCGCTTGGATAGTTGGAGTCGTCGGCCGTGAGGAGGATGAAAAGAGGAGAAGTTCGGCTCCAAAACACGCAATGGCCCGCGCGAGTCGACCGCGTGGTCGGCACTTGTGTGGAGAAATGAACAGGGGGGCCAACGCTGTCGAGACTCAAGGGGTGAGATCGAGTGGCTTCCCTCCCTCGACAGTTTAGAAAGCAGTTGGAGATGATTGAAGGCTCGGAGTTGACCCCGCTTCCCCGCATAAAGCTGGGATCCGTCTCTTAACGTTGTCCACCTTTCTTAGGTTACATCCAGTCCAAACTCATTTACAACTGAGCCTAACATTTCTCCTTTCGGACTGTGGTCAGAATATGGAGGAATGAACTGTAATACGACCGAGTTCTGACATGGGCGGGAGCTCTCATCTCCTGTGTGCGAGGCTCGTCTTGAACCCTGGCTTCAGCAGAACCACGATGGAGATTCATCCAAAGACTCAACCGTATCTCCCGCTTCGTCAGACAAGAGAAGTTCCTTCAAGAAAAGATAAGTGCGTCAGTTCGCAATCGTGGTGGACTGAAATTTAAAATCAGACAGCCTCGGCTGACATATTGAGTGCACTTATGGTCGTTGGGCTAGACGCCGATGGTTCCCGTCAATCTTCAAGGAGGCGAACAAGCTTTTGGGGGCTGAAAAACTGCAACGATGGATACCCCTATCTTTCTTGGCTTCTGCGAAGCGATCCAAAACCAAGAACGAAAGAAGTTTTGCCTAGTCGTTCGGCCATAAACGGATGCTGCGCAATGGCAGCATTTGACTAGTCCATGCCGACCTCCTAAGCCTTGCCACGAACACGATTGATGATAGCAGAATTGAGCTGCCCGCCCCAAAACCAAGGTTAGAATTGTATCCCATGGCATTGATCCAGAAGTAGGATTTTCCGAGAGAGCCGTCCCCCGGCTGCCGAAAGCTTGGGGAGATGGACTACGCGTCGTCTCAACATCGAAAGTTTTCATCTCTTGGCAGCCATATCTCCAATCTTCCTCTGTACTATCCACGGAGCTCATAGGGGTAATAGGTGTTCGTATATTCGTGTCCTTCATCGACGTTTTGTAGCTGAATAAAGCAAACCTCCGTTGACCCTATGATCGCGCCACAATGATACTCCAATTTCTTGTGGCCGCTCTTGCTATAAGATATGCACTCACTGGTCCCTTGAACGGCCCCCTGTGGAAATAACTCTACCGCAAAGCAGGCTCATCGAAATCTCTTGTATGTCACGAATTGGGGAATCTATGGTGCGGGCTATAACCCCGACAACCTTCCCGTACGAGACATCACGCATGTGCTGTACGCTTTCGCAGATATCAAACCAAATGGGACTGTGTAAGTCTAGCGTCTTCCTTCGACTTTGAGTGCCGATCCTGATCTGCGTTCTGGTCCAGCATCTCATCAGATCCATGCACCGACACCGGGAAGCCTTTTGGCAACGAAAGTACTACAGAGCCCGGTCAGAATGCTCACGGCCTTGTCAAACAACTCTACCTAAAGAAGATGAAAAACCGAAACATGAAAGTCATCCTCTCCATCGGCGGCTACAACTGGTCACCCAAATTCGAACCCGTCGCCGCCGATAAATTCCGTCGCGCAACCTTTGTCTCCTCCGCCGTCAAACTCATGGCCGACTTTGGGATGGATGGCATCGACATTGACTACGAGTACCCAAACACCACTGAAAAGAATCAGAATTGCGTAAAGCTCCTGTCCGAACTTCGCACAGGCCTGGACGACTTTTCGAGGAAGAATGCAGGCGGGTACCACTTCACCCTAGGTTTTCCCGCGCCTGCAGGACCTCAGAACTACAAAGCATTTGACTTCCAGGAAATGGATAAGTCTCTTGACTTCTGGTCACTCATGGCATTTGATTTTTCCGGTGCCTGGGAGAATGTCACAGGCCACCAGTCCAATGTCTTCCGCAGCAAGCGGAATCCGCAAAGCACTAAGGCGAGCGTTGAGAGGGCCTTCGAGGACTACGTTGAAGGAGGAGGGATCTCTCCTGCCAAGATCAACTTAGGTATGCCCCTCTATGGTCGCGCCTTCAGCAACACAAAGGGTTTGGGAAAATCGTACAGCGGACTACCGAATGGCACTCTCGGCCAAGCTGGAGTCTATCTCTACAAAGACCTCCCCCGGCCCGGCGCGACGGTCCATTGGGACAGTACGGTCAAGGCCACGTACTCATACAACAACGCGACGCGAGAGCTGGTGACCTTTGACAACATGAAGAGCGCAAAGTACAAGCAGGCTTACATCAAGAAGAAGAGGTTAGGCGGCGCCATGTTTTGGGAGGCCACGGGCGACAAGGCGGGTGACGAGAGTCTTGTCCGTAGTATGGCGAAGGGGATGGGCAGACTTGAACAGTCGCAGAACTTACTGTCGTACCCGACTTCTCAGTATGACAACATTCGCAATGGGATGAAGACAAATTCTACTGTGCCGTGAAGCAGGACATCATGAAATTGGTCCAAAGTCACATGCTACATGTGCTTATTGAGCTTCAATTCAATGCCGAAGTATGTGTACAGATGCAAGTAAACGTAATCAAGAGAAATTGTGTGGATAGAAGTGACTTGTGTTCCTGTGAGGCGGCAAATTTGAAATCTTGTCTATCGAATCTTTGAAGTCATCCCGTTTCCATGACTGTATGTGTCTAGAGGCAGCTGAGAGGTATAGAAGCTTTATAGTTCTGCAGCACCTGCCACCGCCTGCGTTTGTCACTTCTTGGCCGTGTTGCTTTTGTATTGTATCGAATTCGCTGTGATCGCATTAGCGTGAACATCCTAATGCAGCTCCAGCTAGCCACTTGTGCCACTGGTAAGTGCCCAAACCAGATGACGGGTGTGTAAAGTGTGGTGCGATAAAAGCTGCAAGCACAAGACCTCCATTTATGCAGACTGCCAAAGTATCAGAGTACTGTGATAGCATGGGCTGACCAGGTAGGTATAATAATGTGTCTTACTGTGTCAAGAGGCTGGCTGAGGTTGAGTCAATCGAGTATTGCGACACCTGCAGGTCGCTCAAAGATGATTGAATGCGGGCCCAAGCGTTCTCCCCGTAGGCTTGGACGAGGTACGCGGTGGCCGTTTCCAAAACATGTTCTTCACGAAATGCCTCGTTGACAGTCGCGCCAGTCTTAACGTTCATTAGATTTCCCCACTTCAATAGCCGCTTTCCGGGGTATAGGTAACACGGCCCAGATCGCAATCTGGAAGCTAGTCCGTTGGACAAGCCTAGGCCACTCGAGTGGCTGGCTGGCTGACTTTCGTCACATTTTACATTGAGAATTGTGACATGTACATGTTCTTGGAGATAATTCAGCTTGGGATTCGGTCTCTGAATATTCTCTCACCCGATATAGGAAAGGTTAGGCTTCGATCAATGACTGTGGCTGGCTGACAATCTTCCTGTTCACATGCTGTTCACTCAGCTGAGACAAGATCTTGACTTTAGGCACAACGAGTCATGAACCAGTCTCGACCACTTATCCGACTCATTTACTAGGACAGCAATACTGGTAGCTGATGTGGCGGCGACGCAAGACGACTAGCTTCTTGTCGCGTGCGCGGCATGGAAACACGAAAGAGTACATGAAATGTGAGGTTCATGACCGGATTCAAACACATGCCAATAGTCAGAGTTCATTCCCCTTTGAGATTGCAATATGCACAGCTGGATTATAGTCGAATGAATAATTTCAAGACATGATTTGCATGACCGCAGCTAAATGGACTAAAGAACATAAAGTCTGGATGGGATCGCCCTCACTTTTAGGATCCTGTTCGGAACAAAAAGCACAAATACCTTCAGACTATTAGCTCTATCCCCATCGTATTCAGGCCCGAGTCTTTCTACTATACTTCAAAATGGTCAACAAGTATAACATCACGGTCCAAAACCAATCTGGTTCCCAGCAGCAGTATGTCCTTTTCAGCAAGCCTCCCAAGGTCACTGGCAGAGTCCAGGGCCAAATTTGGTCCAACATCTTTGCGACTGGGAACACCCCCAGAGGCTCCAGGACGATATTTTCAGTCCTCAGCCAGTACTATGCTATCGTTGCAACTTCCCAGGGCAGCCCTTCAATGGGTGTTGAGGTCGACGTGAGCAGTGAAAGAGATGTCATCCTCGGTTCTCTCAAAGACGACGGAACCGCCGTCCCGGGCACCACTCTGCAGCTTATAGTTGATGAAGACGCACCGCAATTCAGCGACAGTCCTCTTCCTAACAGTGCCTCCCCAAATGCCTTTGAAATCCAAACCGGCAATGACTTTACCGTTGCACTAGCCAAGCAAGGTGAGTTCCCTTACTACAAACATGCAAGATTAAAATTAGCATGACATTGAGCTGATTATCCTATCAGGAAACTACCTGATCGGTCTTGGAGGCTCCAGGACTGGCGACGGTCAGGATGGACCTTTGGCTACTTTCATTCCCGAGCCAAGTGTACGATACCAAATTCAGCCTCTCAACACCTACTACCTAACCGTTGGCAGCTACCGCAAAGGAGAAATCATTGATGCGAGCAAGATTGGAGGCAGCATCGTGGCTATCGACTTCACCAAGTTGCGCTCTAACAACGTGGTCATCGTTCACGATGACCATGGCAACCTCAATATCCAGGCCCAGTAAGGGATTCGATCCAGCTTCCCAAGAACATCACAGATGTGTGCGGAAGAATCAATCGCTCAAGTAGCTGTTTAGGTTGAGATATCCCTTCGATGCAACTACAAGTATGGAACTTGTACGTTGTCTTCAGAGAAACCGCCGGCTAGGTTAGAAGTACTTACTTAGTCGTCGTGAGTGATGCAAAAAGACAACTCATATTGCGCTCGTTGACCGCAAGAATTCCGCTGACACTGTAACGTGTTGTTCATTTTGATAGCGTCGTTGTGAATGTGATCCTGCTTCTCCGCTTTCGGTGAAGGATGTGGATAACTCGTCTGTTGCGATGCTGGGGACGGAGCACGTCATCGGAACTCGCGCACGGAGGACGCTTCTCCCATCCGGCGAGCCGGGTTTGTAGCGCCGGAAGACGGGAACTTGGCTTATCTAAGAGCCAAACTTTTAAGTACTGCTCTTGGGGGTTGCGCGATACTATTTTCTTTTCAGTTTTCTATGACTTGATCAATTGAGCCACGGGCCGGAATCAAATTGAACCATAATGCAGCTCGAGAAATCAGCGCTGGCCTCGGCGGTCTTGCTACTTATAAGCAATGTTGCGGCACAAGGCGATGCCCAGACTCCCCTCGTTGGCCCCGACCGAGATGCGATACCGCCGTCTTCGCGGCCAAACATCGTGTTCGTCTTGACTGATGATCAGGACCTGCACATGAACTCTTTGGAGTACATCCCGCTGATTCAGAAGCGGCTTATTGAAGAAGGGACACTGTACAAGAAACATTTCTGCACGACGGCAGTTTGCTGCCCATCGCGTGCAAGTTTGTGGACTGGCAAACTAGCTCACAATACCAACGTCACCGACCTCAACCCACCATACGGTAAAAGATTCTCTCATCCACTGATCCAATTGACTGACGACGGGATTCGTGAACATACACTAACTGATTTTGCAGGCGGTTTCCCCATTTTTGTGAAGAATGGCCACAATGAGAACTATCTGCCCATTTGGCTGCAAAAGGCCGGATACAGCACGTATTACACCGGCAAAATGTTCAACGCTCATACAGTTTGGAACTATGACAGCCCGCATTTAAAGGGCTGGAACTCTTCTGTTTGTGTCCAGCTTTACTAATCAAGAAATCCCTCCTACTGACCTCATTTCAGGACTTCCTCCTTGACCCTAACACCTATGACTATTACAACGCCACCTTCCAGCGTGACCATGAAAAGCCAGTCAATCATCTCGGCGAGTACTCGACGGATCTGGTCGCCGAGAAGGCCTTCGGGTTTCTGGACGAAGCTGTAGACGCCGGCAAGCCTTTCTTCCTTGGTATCGCTCCCATCGCACCTCACAGCAACGTCAACTCCAGTATCCTTCTCCCAGTCAAGGGCCCAGATGACGACGTGCCGGTCTCTGATGACAAGTTCAGGGTCAGCATCCCGTTAGCTGCTAAGAGACACGAACACCTCTTTGAGGATGCCAAGGTCCCGAGAACAGAAAACTTCAATCCTGACAAGCCTTCGGGCGCCGACTGGATCCGTCGCCAACCCAAGCTTACGGATGAGAACGTGGCATATAACGATAAGCACTACCAAGGACGTCTCCGTGCCCTGCAAGCAGTCGATGAGCTGGTCGACGGCCTCGTGGAGAGATTGGAAAAGCATGGCATCCTGGATAACACATACATCTTCTATACGACGGATAACGGCTACCACATTAGCCAGCACCGGCTGCAGCCTGGCAAGGAGTGCGGGTACGAAGAAGATATCAACATTCCGCTCATCGTTCGTGGACCAGGTGTTCCCAAGGGAGGCGTGACCGAAGCTGTCACGGCACACGTTGACCTCGTCCCCACCATCCTGTCGCTCGCGGGTGCTCCGTTGAGAGCCGACTTTGATGGAGCCCCGATCCCACTCTCGACAAAGGACCTGACGGAGTCCCCGTTGACTCGCGAGCATGTCAATGTTGAATACTGGGGATGGGCAATTACTGAGAGCAAGTTCGGCTTCAATGGCGATGACACGAAGCGCATATTCAACAACACGTATAAAGCGCTGAGAGTTGTCGGCGAAGGTTACAACCTCTACTACTCGGTTTGGTGCACCAACGAGCATGAGTTGTACGATATGACTGTGAGTTCGCTAGAAACCAGTGGTTGACATCCTGCACGTGAAGAAGTAGAGCGTAGTGACAATTTGCCTAATCCAGACGGACCCCGGCCAGCTTCACAACCTCTTGCACGCCGACGAAGCCGCCCTTGCTGCAGGCGCAACACTTCTCGGCTACCCTCTCAAAAAGGTCCTGCCCAGACTCGACTCCCTCCTCTTCTTTCTCAAGTCTTGCAAGGGCACCACGTGCTCGCAACCGTGGAAGGCCCTCCACCCTACAGGAAATGTTGGCAGTCTACTCGAAGCCCTCGCACCGCGCTTCGACGAGTTCTACACCCAACAGACGCGTGTGCAGTTTGATCACTGCGAGCTGGGCCACATTGTCGAGGCCGAAGGGCCGCAGTTTGAGCATGATGGAGCTGTGTACTGGAAGGGTTCCAAGTGGAGCGACTGGACCTGAGCACCTTCGGCTGTATGTAGGAAGCTTTTTCGAGGTATCGCCGGATACTGAAAGCTCAACGGGACTATAACTTGCCGATTATTTGTCCGTCGTACAAGAGTAGTGGGGTTCCACAGCATCAAAAGGCGGTGAAATTTCCCCCAGCCAAGGTCTACAAGTGAAACATGTCCAACAGCGTGACGGTGCGTGATCTTGAATAATCGCAACGGGACGGACGCAACGGCACGCGGCTTGCTGCTCGATCGAGGGCCCGCCGTGCGACATCATGACCCCTCATCCCCCACAATTGAGATCCGCTTCGGAACTAGGAATTTAAGCTCCCTTGTCTTCCGGAACTAGGAAAACCAACATTCCCCCAACTCCGGCCGGGTTAGGCTTTGGGAAACGCTTGACATCTTAAAAGTAAGTGATCCCTGACGTAAGTCTGCTCGATTCGTCATCATCTGATGAAAAAGGTGGCTGTAGCTTAGGTGGGAGATTCCAAGAAAAACACCTCAGTTTCGACTACGACTTCCCCACACATCAATTCCGTGCGCATTCGACGTTCATCTCGACTACACGTAAACTTCATTCCCAAGTAAAATAACATGGCGCCGTATCAAGGTCATTGCAACTGTGGCTCGGTAAAGGTCACAGTCAACAAGAAGCCGGATAACATCGTGATCTGTCATTGGTAAGTCAACCATCACCATTGCCTCCACACATGTCGAATGGAGGTCATAAGTTGACACGATTGAAAATATTAGTTCAAACTGCAAACGCGCTGGTGGTCGTACGTTAGACATCGATGCCTTTAGATTTCGCTAGGCTGACTGTGAGGGAAACATGTAGCCTTTTCCATGAACCTATTCGTCGACGATGGTGAATGGGAGATCGACGACAGCCAAAACACGCTGAAAGAGTACCAGGACTCAAACACTGATTCCGGAAACACCATTCAAGTGTGTCCAATCTCTTCCCCAAAACAGGTAGAAACCATTGTTGACATCGCGTTCCCAGCGATGCTTTTGCGGAAAGTGTGGAAGGTAAAGCTATCGACTACTTAGGTGACCCGTTGATCTGTGTACTGACATATCTGGCAGTCCTGTCAAGACCACAACAAAGGCGATTCCGGGAAAAGCTCTCATCAAGGCGTCATTGTTTGATGACATCCCAACGAAGAAGAGTGAAGTGTACGGACAGAAGGCAATTAACTGGGCGTAGAGGATGATGTTACCAAGTTTGAAGATGCGGAACGTGGTGTTTAAGGCGAGAGTGGGCGCACTTTGGCGGATGAGGCTGGGTAAAAGTGACCAAAGATAGCCAGATTAATGATATCTGTAGTTATTTGATATTCAATAAAATAAAATAAAATAAAACATACGGCATTTTGCTCCTATTGACACTGACAAACAATGTGAGAAAAGGTATTCCAACTGCCCGATTGAAGCAAAAAGTCTATAGTGATCGCCTTAGTCAATTACTCGTCCGCCTCCCTAAACCTGCAAGTCCGCCCCTGTATGCCCAAACTCGCTCTTATACGTCGTATCTATGATCCCGGTATCTACAATTCTCGTATCGGTACGGTTGGAAGGGAATGTGCGGTTGAATCCCTGATACGGACCCAAACTTGGCGGGAGATCCTGGACTCTCGTTCCCCAGTCACTCTCACGCCGGCCAAGAGTAAGCACCAGCTCCTGACCTTCGGTGAAGAACTTGTGATCAACCCAGCTTTTTCTATAAGGCTGACCATTCAAGGTCGCCTTTTGGATGTAGATGTTGCGGTAGGTCGGGTCAAAATTGATGTTGCGGACCTTTGCCGTCCTACCTGTTTGTGGGTGCGTGATTTCGAGGCTCTCGAAGAAGGGTGGGATGATCAGATACACATCCTGCCCGGGATTTGGGAAGAGACCCATCATGGAAAAAGCCAGGAATGATCCCATGGCCCCGCTATCATCGTTACCGGGAAGTCCGGCTGGGTCAGGTGAAAAGAATGAGGGGATGTAGAAGTGGGCTCGTCTGGCTGAGAGAGCCGGACGACCGGCGTAATGGTACTGGAAGACTGTGAGGAAAGCGGGTTCGTTGCCAATGTAGGTGATGTTTTGATCATGCAAGAAGTTGAGCCTTCGGACGAAGGCGTCCGGACCACCAAGAGTGTTGATGAGCGTTCCTTGATCATGAGGAACAAAGCTATTGAAGTCAGTTACTCGAGACTCCCACTGCCACTCACGTTCCATGTCGACTTACAAGCCATACTCCCAAAGACTGCTCTCAAAAGTTTCTGGGCCATTGTTCTGTAGGGAACAAGAGCTTTGGCCGTCCAGATTACTGCAGTTGAGCGGATTCTGGTAGGCCCAAGTCTGGTTGAGGAACTTGGGCTCGAAGAATCCTCTGAACCCTGTGTCGGTACCGTTGAAGAAAGCTGACTTCTGGTCCTGCTTGTACAGGTTGCGCCAGTTGC